GAGCAGTCTCCATGAGGGATGGCTTCAATGAGACGGATCGCTTTGCGTGACTCAGCGAGGCACAGACTGCCCGGAGGTAACGACATTCCAGACCGGCCGAGTTCTTGGTCCAAGGGAGATCGCGCCGTCGGGGATAAGTGGCGATCAATCATTGTCAGACAATGGATATATATGAGTCGAAGAACCACCTTGTGGATCATCTCCCCTGCGACTTGGGATCCTGAAAAGATCAGAAAATCCTCGGGGGGTTCCAGCTGCGCACTGGACTTCCAATAGGACAACATAGAACTTAGCTCTTGTGCCACAATTGCCCTTTGTACCTCCGTTTGTCGTCCAGCCCGGATCGAGTACAATTGCTTGTACACCTGACCCTGAATAATCGCAAGTCCTATGCGATGGTTGAAGAGTTCCACGTTACATGACTCAAGGTTTGCATTTGATGGCAGTCGGACATCCATGTCATCATCATCTTGGCTGAAGGGTCGACAGGTCCGTAGACTGATATCCTTGTCAAGAACGTATACCTTCCAAAACACCCGTCTCCGTATCTCGGCTTGTTTTTCCGTGAGACTTGTGTCGGAAGCCTCTCTGTGCAGATTCAGAGCCTGTGCCAGGCGCAGGGCGGCGGCGACGAGCATCGAGGCCGGCTCCGGATTCGGGGTCCCCTGAAGAATGCAAGCCATACCCACCAGAGCTTGGACGGCAGAGATGCTAGCGACGTTCAGCTCGGAGACGACGCTTAGGGCGTTTTTGATGTAAACACCAGCTAGGTTGTTCTCATGTGTTGGGTTCAATGTGCGCAGGCTGCGGAGACGATGAGCTATCGACAGCACGACATTGAGACATGCCCACCAACTGGCATCTTCGGGTTTAGAAGTTGAGTACTTGAGGTGGAACTCTCTCGAGAAGTCCTCTTCGTCAAAAAGCGGAAGGAACCTATTGTAGTTATTGAAAGTTTCCTGGACCAGCTCCAGAGCGACTGCCTTTGATGGAAGCTGCCCGCGCGCTGGTAAAGATACTGACCGTGACTCTGGAGCAAGATGAGTCCATGGGCTGCCAGCTACAGGGTCAATTACAAAACCACGAACAGTGGAAAACTCGGGTTGGCCGTGGGTTTGTGCGCCCAATGCAACGTCAAGATCAAACCCTGGACTACTGGTGTGTTTTGGTGATGAAATACGTGACTCGCTCCTTGGAATCCATGAATTACTTTCCCTCTGAAATGTGATCAGTGCCGCTATGTTGGGTGATACTGCGGAAGTCGTCTGCTCTTCACGCGAACTGTTGCCAGGCACAGTAGACTTGTCTCCGTGAGACTTTATGTTCTCTAGTGCTGAGAGCCTTTCTTCGAGCTGTGCGATGTATTTGAAGCTGCGGAATGTTTAACAGGCGCAAGCTTTATGGGCTAGAGTGGCATACTAACCCAGCTGGTCTGCGAGGCTTCCTCTTCATTGCAATTGGCGTAAAATGGCACCTTGTGCGATATTTGGTGCACTGAGCGCATCCTTGCGTGGTAGGTTCGCAGCGGATCTTTTTCTTGCGGCACATGTCACAAGCCTTGTTTTGTAGTGTCAAGAGAGGCGACATGATGTTATGGAACTCTTCGGGTCAACTCACACGAACAACGGCTTGCTGGCCCCCTCCCCCAAGACTTGGCTGGACGCTGGAACACCTTTGTGACTCCATGGCCTGCTGTGCAATGGTCGTATCTGATTGAAAGGCTGCGAGAATAATACTTAAAAGTCTTGAGCCTGATTGCTTTACAACTTACTCAAAAGCAGCTTGGAGAAACCTGGTGGAACAAAGTCTTCCAAGGCGGCGCTTGATCAGTTCCCAAATTTCATCCCATTTGACGTCATGACCAGACAGCAGCAGATTGATTATAAATCAATTTCTTTGCCAATCATCAGCCTTGGGTATAGTGAGGGGGCTCCCAATAAGCTGACGGGTGCTCGTGAAAATGACTATGTAAGCAAATTTGGCACACGGGTCTTTAGCCAATCGGAGGCTTGAGTTGGATTCAAGCTGTCCAACGCCTCTCGTTTGGCATTATCTCTCTCGAATCGTTCCAGATGTCTCCCGTACCTCTTCTGCTGTTCAAAAAGAAGTCTTCTCCTTCTTCTGCAACGACAAGCTTATCAACCCGTTCCTGTTCAGCTCTGTCCCAGAGCAACTCGCCTGTTAGAACCAGGCAGGGGTCTAACAAACATGGCTAGAGACATTGAATGGCTGTTTCGAAAAGTACTTACTGAAGAATACCAACCCAGCAACTCAAACGCCAGGTGAAAACAAGCATTCCTGCTAAACTGCGGTTCGGCGTATCTGGTTTTCTTGTCACCAGCTTTCCGGGTTACGCCGGGGCTAGGCGCCGAGAAAGGTGGACCAGCCCGGGGTACGAGGACCGGAGCTTGGGATCGGAACTTGAGGGCTCCGGAAAATATTCGGGCGAGACGGAGGGCTCGGCCCACACGGTTTGATACGGGAATAAAGCGGCTGAGCGTCTTGTTCAAAGGGCGGGCTGGCTCGCATGCCCCCAAGACCTTCCAACATGGGTGGCTTCAAGGCAGCCAACCGCCAACACGCGCCAATTCCACAAGTTGCCCGGGTTGTTAGCCCATGCAGCACCTAAATCGATTAGGCGGTAACATCAAGCTCAGCTGAGAGGCGTTGAATCGTGGCCGCCACTTCTGGCGAATGGTTTAGAGAAAGATAGGCAACAGCACTAGATCTCATACACGTGCTCCCGGGTCTGTCACCGACCCGGGTACGAAGCTCAAAATCCCGACCTTTGCGTCGCCTCAAACTCTGGCGATCAGCTTCTACATTACTAGTCATCATGTCTAAAAGCCGTCAAACTTTCAACCGTGACCGTGATAGTAGCTCAGAGGGCGAGCCTGTGAGGTCGCCGTCACCGGCCGTAACCTCGACCGATGGCTTGAACCTTGGGCTGGAAGCCAAGGTCAGAGCCGTAACCCCCTTACAAAGCTGTGAACACCCCGCGTGTATCTGACACACCGAATAGGAAGGGAAAGGCTGGCTCCGCAACAAAGTCGCTCCGGCGATGTGTTACGGTATCGTTACCGCGGGTCTCATTGCTGTTGGTCTTCCGGTGCTGATTTCGACGCCGGCTGTTGGTGTGGCAGGAGTCGCGGCACACTCTGTAACTGCAGGTAAGCTTCAACCGCTTCACAAGCCACTGCTCACACAACACTTACCTTCACAATTCCACGAAAGAATGGACTTCAAGAGTACTGGCTTAAATACAAAATTAGACACTGTGGGACACTACGCGTTCATCATGTTTTGCAGTGGTGCGGGCGCCGCATCCAACATGGCCATTCATCCTTGGATGAGGACCAAAATGGGAGTCCCAGACGAGGGACTCTGGTACAGATTCGTTGGTAAGAAATCCAGGCGTGAGGCAGGGCGCAGTGAGGAGTAGTACGCCACAGATGGTATTGAGGCGACGAGCACCTTAACGGATGTTGCGGACAGTCATGACACCCGCAAGGGCGGATCTCAAAGTTCATGAAGATGGTGCTGAATTGCGGACCATGACTATGCGAAATTATATGCTCTAGCAAGGTTTCTCCTAGCCAGTTTGGACGCACTCGACGTGAGACTTAGGGTCAATCAATGCTTGGCAGTCCTGTGTTGTCAACTTGGTTAATAGACCGTTGCACGCCTCTCCATCTTTGTTGGAGTTTACACCAGTGGCGCCACCGGCACCGTTGCAGATTGGTGCCTTCATCTGCCGTTTCTTTCCGTTGACGCAGCTGCACGAGAACCGCGATGGGCCCTTTTGAGGGTCTCGTTCAACTAGAGCACCAGTACTGCGAGCGGGTCAGTCAAATTCTCACGTACCCGGAAAGGGAGGGTTACTCTTGAATGGGGCTGGCCGTAATTGGTGTGGCGATTGTGAAGGCTAAGAGCGCCAAGGTGATAATCCCAGATTTTGAAAACATTTTGATCTCTCAGAGATGATGCAGAAAGAAGCGTCGAAGATTAAGATGAATCATAAAAGTCAAGATCAATTCGCTTGAAATGCGGTAATAGCTTAGCTATTTAAATTTGTCAGACGGCGATCTAGTTCATCGTTGCCAACTGTTGAAACGCGCCGTGCTCGGAAAATATGATACAACTAGTCATCGAAACAGCATTGACAGGCGTTGTTGAGTCGCAACCTGACGAGAGAATTAAGCTTTAGCCTAGACAATCGAAGGCCACCGGTAGACCTGGGCTTTCGCAGCTTTATTTCGCAGCTATGTATGGAGGCCCATGGCTGCTGCAGCCCTATTCCTCACTACTACTAGACGTCTCAGCTGCTCAAGTTCGTCTGATGCGTCTCAGATTGCCAAGGGTGGCAGCCGACCTCCAGCCGAAAATGACTCGTTATCGCCTCATCACCCAATGAAGGTTTGAGCAAGTTGTCTAATGTCATTAGGTTTTGTTTGCGGCGTTGGGGTCAAGGACCAATGTGCACAGATTCAGCCGTGAGGTTTTCTTCGCGTTGAAACGCAACCAACCTACAACGGTATTTTATCCAAATGGGCTTACCTGGAGGTTCTTGATACGAGAACTTACGGATAATAGGCAGCCAAGCCTTCTTAAAGCCTTGTCTCAAAGAACTACCAATGGTAGACATGTGTTGACTAGGCGTTAGCACGTTTGTGGTGAATAGACAACGTTACTTGGCTGCTTTACGGCTCCAACAGAGTTTAGGTTACTGGGAAGACATACATACCCGTAGAATCGCACACCTTTAGAAGTGGTCACGCAGATCAAAAGAAACGGCTCAATTTCGAAGAGGTCATGCACCTTGACGGCCGATTTGACTATAAGTAGTGGCGATGATCACAGCTTACCTGCCAGAAATCTTGGACCTCACAACAACCTCACAACTTCAGCCGTTCAGTCTAATACGCCAACAAAATTCACTACCATCTACCATGCGTCCCACTACCACTCTCGTCGGATTGTTGTCCGTGGCCTCGGCCGCCATGGCAATGCCTACCCTTCCCAAGGAGCCTGTCGCCGCGCTTGTCGCCGAGTCTGACACCAATGAGCTTGCAACTTTGGGCGTGTTTGGTGGTATCACTGATCTGATTGAACTTCCTTTCAAGATAGGTCGAACTCTCCTCAAGCCTCTCACAGAAAAGAAGTTTGCCACCTCTGATGGGCGGCGCATGAGCTTGTTGGGGCTCATCACGGAGGAGATGAAACGTCAAATCGCGGAACGGGAGAGAACTGAGCGCGAGAGACTCGAGGCCGAGGGCGCTGATGGAAACAATTCCACTGAGCCTGGCACCGAGGGCGAGCCTGGCACCGAGGGCGAGCCTGCCACCGAGGGCGAGCCTGCCACCGAGGGCGAGCCGGCCACCGAGGGCGAGCCGGCCACCGAGGGCGAGCCGGCCACCGAGGGCGAGCCGGCCACCGAGGGCGAGCCGGCCACCGAGGGCGAGCCTGCCACCGAGGATGGTGCTAAGGATGACGCCGCTATGGAAGCCTTGTTGTCCGTGTTCAAGGGGCTTTCAGAACAGATTGAGAAGAACGACTCAACTTAGTCCGACACTACGGACGATGCTGAAGATGACGGCGAGTGTATTTATTGTCTTGACAGGTAAATGCCAGCCAGCTTCTAGATGCTGAGAAAAGATACTGACTATATACTTAAGTCTCGCAATCAGCTCTCAGGGATCCAGAGATGTATGGTCAGATGATAATTATCTCAGGCTTTGAACAATCGATAGTAAGTCTGTTTCTCTAATCTCTTTTAAGGTTTTGCTGACTCGAAAGAACTTTTGCTCTTCTTCAGTGCAATCAGGCCTCCTTCATCTTTCAATCATCTTTCAATCATCGTCACATCGACTATTTGGAGTCATTGGCTGAAATGACATCAGCTTCGACGGCTTCAGTTGTAGTGGAGTAAGAGTAGTAGTAATTAAATTTACTAAGCAGCTCAAAATTTTCTGACCCATGGATGTCGAATGTGTCCGCCATATGTCGGCCTATCATAGACGGCGGTTCTTTCGAGGCCCTGCCTGTTCGTGTTTGTGACCGAATCAGCTCCATGTGTTTAGGCACGCGTAACAAGCACCTTCATCGACACTCAAAATAGACCGAACAACATGGGCAGGTAGCCGGTGAAAAGAGATGTGATCAGCTTGGTTGCCGTTCCGCCACACTCAATCTTCTTCACTGTGTCGCAGAGCCAAGATACTCCAGGTGTGCCACACGTGGCTTGTGTGAAGTTGACCGACAGACATGTGATGGGCAAGGAGAAGAAGACGTACACCATCAGCCAGATGGTGAAGTAGAATGGTACGGCCGAAACAGTGAAGAGAGCCCTTGAGCGAGACTGCTTGGGCAGACGCAGGTTGAGCATCTGTGCTTCCGGAGGTAAGGTAAATGTCAATGGATCTTGATCCCAATCGACGGTGATCATCTTGTTATCGGAGTCCATTTTGGATCTTGCATTGATGTTTTCATTGTATGACTCAAAATGTGGTGTAAGTCAGGCTTAAAATGTTTGATGCGGGAAACCGTGACGTTTTCAGTCTCTGAGAAGCCACGTATTTATATAAATAAGGGACGCATGTGTTACCGGCTGTGATTCACTTCTTTCTGCATTTCTCGCTTCATTTTGAAAGGCTAGAGTGGTCGCGGAAACGTGAGTCACTATTCGCATGTCTGAGTGAATCACTGCTTAAGGTGTGTTTGGCCGGTGGCTTCAGCTTTCGAAAAGGCTGACAACCTCTACCTGTGATGCTCCAGACAATTGAATACTTGCGCATATGTTTAGATAATTTATTATGGAGAATGCAAAGTACAATTCGTTGCGAAGTTAAGGCACGTGGTTCTATCAAATTCAGCTTATCCAACGACCGGTTGCTTTTATGGCAATAATTTCCAACATCGTGACGGGAGTCTTCCTCCAATACCTATTTGCTTGTGACTGGAACCTGCATGTGGCTACCACGAGACATTGCCAAGCTTGTTTATTAGAAGTTAGCTATGTGGTTTTCTAAATATTTGTTAGCCTCTGTTCCGAAGAAAAAGCGTATGTCGGATTTCACAATGCCGTTTGTGTACGTAAGTGGGGACTCTTCCTGAGTCTCCCAAGATTGCCGTGGACTGCGGACTCCGGATACGTCTTCGACCGTTGCCGAACTTGCAGAGAACAAGGGCAGGTTGAAAAAAAAGGCAGAGTAAAGATCGATGCGATATGTGCGTAAATGTTGCCCGAAGGCTTCCTACAGGTCGGCATTATACACTTTGTATCTTCGTTTACAAGATCATTCAGATGCTTGCGTGATATCCGGCAAAGATATCTCCCGGGCCTTGAGTACTTTAATGTTACCCAAGTGCGGGCTTTGGAAGCACGGACTACTCCAGAGCCGTAGACGTCGCGACTCATTATGAATCATCATGGCCTGTGGAGACATGGCGCGTTGTAAAGCATTTACAACCTCATCGACAGAGACGAAATTCGACTTTAAATGCATTCAAAATGGCTGTGGATGGACTGAATGTTCCTCAATTTTCTATCAAGCAAGAAGCTTCTCGATTCATCTTGACGACTTGATCTCACGCAAATTTTCAGCATCCTCCTCGAGAGCCATTATCCAAGGCTCCACGGGCCCAAACCATCAAACATGAAAGCATTCCGATTCCACGGAGCCGACGCGGGTCTCCGTCTCGAGACTGTCCCGGTCCCACTCCCGGCCCCGGCCACGCTCTCATCCAATTCAAAGCGGCCGGCCTCTGCCACTCAGACACACATGTCCTCCACGGCGGCGGTGCAGCCTGGATGTGCGCACTTCCAGTCACTCTTGGTCACGAAGTCGCTGGTGTAATTACCTCCTTTGGTGACGACACCTCGCCGTCTTCAAACTTCAAGGTTGGCGACCGCGTCGCCGTTGCCTGCGTCGGTCATCCCATCGAAGCACGCAACTTCCAAGAAGCTCTCGGCGTCGGTTGTGATGGCGGCTACGCTGAGTATGCCGTTGCGCCGGTCAAGAATCTTGTTAAGATACCGGATACCGTCGACTTCGCTTCAGCCGCGATCGCCAGGGACTCTATTGCGACGGCCTACCACGCTGTCGTCACCGAAGGCGCCGTGTCTGACCGTTCCACGGCCGCTGTCATCGGTCTAGGAGGCCTAGGGCTTAACGGAGTTGCCATAGCTGCCTTACGAGGGGCCAGAGTGTTCGGCGTCGACATCAACACGTCGAAATTCGACCAGGCTCGATCACTCGGCACGGTTGACTGCTCTACGAGCCTTGCGCATTCCTCTGAAGAGAAGTTTGACGTTATCTTAGATTTTGCCGGCGCCCAAGCAACCGTTGAGGCGGCTGTATCTTCAGTGAGACCTGGTGGACGCGTTGTGCTGGTGGGTCTGGCGTCCGAGAAGATTCAAATCACAATAACGGCGATTGTAACGCAGAACATTTCGCTCAAGGGGTCAACAAGCGCAAGCATACCAGAGTTCCGGGCGGTGCTTGATTTGCTGGCTTCTGGAAGACTAAAACCTCATCTAGAGGAGCTCCCGTTTGAGCATGTTCCTAAGGGGTTGGAAATGTTGGGCCTTGGTCAAGTTAGTGGTCGGTTGTACACTATACCGAAGCCCGCTGGAGACGGTCTTGAGAGTTAATTGTACGCTAGAGGCCGGTGATGGTATTGGAATCAAGCTGAACTCTGTTGACTTGATCCCGCGGACTCTGTATGGGCCACACATGTAATGTTGACTTCCTGCGAAATCGTGTCAAAAGTTTAGCGGATGTGTTATCAACCGGGATCACTGGGCACTTTTCCGCAGGGACCGAGGCGATTGCATGGTACCTCATTCAGGTACGTGCATGCCCGAAAACTCGGCCGAGTGGGCTCGAATAGTGTTGTCAAACTTTGGCTATGATGACTGCCAAGTTTTGTAACAGCCATCATCGTCCGAGCCGCTTGTGGTTGCAAAGGGAGCATATCATATGTACGGATAAAGGAGACGAACATCCACCCCGGGGTCGGTCCGCGGATCGCGGCCTGACAGCGCACCACCAGCGAGTCTGGCAGCGCCAGGGTCCAGCTGTTCGTGGTTAGATTACGCTTAACCAAGAATGCAATGCAAGATGTGGTCCCGCGCCCCCGCTGCGGCAAAAACAACCTCTGAAAGGCTGGGAGCAATACGAGATGATCGTCGCTGTTCAACCCACGTTTCTGGTCGCCCAATGCAACGACCATTACTGCGGGAAACAACGTTGCTACCATGGGACCTATCGCAGTGACTCGCTCTTGTTCGGGTTCTTTCGCTTTCTCATTTTGCCTCCCCAGCATCGTCATTATCTCTCCTGGTACCTGTCAACCTTCGCTTGCGGCTCCAAGATGCCGCCTAGCTGAGCGCGCTGGGCCCGAACCGTAGACGCCTTTCATCTTCACAGGGTCCAAAATGTTTACTGATTGACGTAGAAATCCATCAATCTAGTCATGCCAGTTGCTATTTCTGGACATTCTCCGCGCAGTGGACCCCTCCAAGCCCTCGACCGGGTGACCCGATGCTCTTGGCCTCGCATTCGGAGGCGGTGATCGTTGGCCCCCTTCGGAGTTTAGTACCGCGGCCTACCTACCGGACAGGCATTCCCCACAGAATGGTTCCCTCCCAAGTGACGGTGACGTCGAAATCATCAACCTCACCTGTACGACGACCGCCCTGCCCGCCTTGGCGAGGATGCCTGCATCTATCGTAGCTGCGCATTTTGAGTATAAAGGACCGCAGGCCAGCCTCCTCTAACCGCTCCTTCAATCATCTCACGTCACGATCTCACTCACCACATCATCTCACCTGCTTGAATATCTTCAACCAACACCTCCAAACATCACCAAAATGCAGTTCTCTCTCGCTACTGTTGCCGCCCTCTTCGGCGCCTCCGCCCTTGCGGCTCCTGCTCCTCAGGCCACCGACGCTCCCACGCCTTCCGAGAACATTCTCATCAACGACTTCTCCGTTCGCAAGCAAGTGAACGGTACCCTCAGCTACGTCAGCTTCACCCTGTCTGGTGATGATGCGACGGACCTGGCCTGCTCCGGCGCCAACCCTGAGCTGCCCTCCGAGGTCATCACCTGCGGCGAGTCCAAGTACCGCTTCACCCTGAGAACGGGTGCCGAATCCGAGTTTGCCCTGCGCATCTACCACGAGCTCGGCCTTGCGTAAGTTTTTCTCTCATTTTTGGGAATTGGGCAGTTCAGTAATTAACAAGACCGCATAGTGTCGGTTTCTGGGGCGAGGGCGATGTTCCCGCCTACTGCCACGCCGGCGGCCTTGGTGACCTGCTCTGCAACCAGGTCAATGCCCCTGCTACGATTGTTATTGACAACACCCCTCCTCCCGTCAACCCTTAAATGGAATTGAGGAGAGAGCTGGAGAACGAATTAGTACATAATGTGTAAAATTTCTGTAAATAATTTGCGATGCAAATCGCTGCTGCAGGCCGTCGTGGCGCCAGCAATAGACTTGATCAAAAGTTCCCATCCAATTGTATGTTGCTGTGACGCGGGTCTGTCGGGTCGCCTGAGTGCCTTGATTGAGAGAAGATGATGTGATCTACTTAATTTCGTTAAAGCTGAACTGACGCAGACACGTATGATTCAGTGTTGTCTGATAGCCATACTGGAGGAAGCAATTGTGATCAGTAAGAGGTTTCAGGCGAGTCCGAAGCATGGCTGAACCACATGAATTGTGAACAGGAAAAAAAGGCGTGAACTCCGTTGGGTCAGTGACCATCAGTTGGGATGTGTTGTTAGACCTATGACCAAGCTCAAACCGTTGAAAACACTCATGGTTTTAACAGAATAAACTGGAAAAACATTCGGAATTGTGATCTTGAATGACGGAGAGCATGGTTGATGGAGGTGTACTGCCTGCAACAGGTACACTTGATGCTCAACAGAGCGAGCGCACTCACCTCGGTCAAGGAAGGTGAGCGAAATCCGGCGAAGAGGTAAAGCGCACAGGCCATCCTTGGTGGGGAAGAAGGTATAGTCGGGAAAAGGTCAGTCCTTCCGTGGTGGTTGCCCGCCTTACCTAATCCGGGTACCTGAGCATCTGAGGTGGCCAGGGTGAGGTAGGCACGAGCATCTTGCGTAGCTGTAGTAGCCTCCCACCAAACACTCATCAGCCTCGCCTTTCGATCAACAATCCCACGACCCTCCATCACGACACCCCGCGAAACCCAACCTCACCCCTCCCGTACTACCTCCCACACACAGCAGCTCGACCAATTGCCAAAATGTCCGAAGGCGCGCTGAAGCCCGAGAAGGACTTCTCGAAGGAGACGGACAAGCAGATCCCGGAGGCTGAGAAGCTCGCGAAGGTGGGCGGCGTCGGAATTGCCAGAACCTGCAGCTTTTTCTGACTGACTTGTGTGCACAGAGCGATATTTCAGCTGCCATCGAGAAGCTTAGTGTGCTGGAGAAGCAGACCCGCCAGGTCAGGACCCCGCCTCTCCCTTCGCCGACGTCACCAAGCTAACCAGCAGCAGTCCTCAGATCTTGCGTCGACATCGCGTATACTCATCGCCATTGTTACGATTGCCAAGGATGCCGGGGACTGGAGCTTGATGAACGAGCAGGTCTTGGTTCTCTCCAAGAAGCATGGCCAGCTCAAGCAAGCTATCACCAAGATGGTTCAGGCGGTCATGGGCTTCCTCGACTCTACACCGAACCTCGAAACGAAGCTCACCGTGATCGAGACCCTGAGAACGGTGACTGAAGGCAAGATCTTTGTCGAAGTCGAGCGTGCGCGCGTCACCAAGATCCTCTCCGACATCAAGAAGAAGCAGGGCGATTTGAGAGCGGCGACGGACATCCTATGCGAGCTGCAGGTGGAGACCTTCGGTTCCATGAACCGTCGGGAGAAGACCGAGTTCATCCTGGCACAAGTTGCTCTCTGCATCGAGAGCGGCGACTGGACCCAGGCCGGCATCCTCAGCCGCAAGATCAGCACCAGATACCTCTCGCGAAAGCCTAAGAAGACTGCCGAGCAGCTGGAGAAGGAGAAGAAGGAGCGTGAGAAGAAGAAGGCGAGGGGCGAGGAGGTCCCCGAGGAGAAGGAGGATGATACGACCGACCTGAAGCTGCGGTACTACGAGCAACAGATCATCCTTGCGAAGCACGATGACAAGTACCTCGACGTCTGTAAACACTACCGCCAGGTCCTTGACACCGAGGCTGTCGAGGAGGACCCTGAGAAGCTTCACCCCGTGAGTTATTGTGGCACTAAGAGTGATGATCTGTTTTCTGACTATCATAGGTTCTGCAACGCATCATTTACTTCGTGATCCTCGCTCCCCACGACAACGAGCAGCACGACCTTCTCCACAGAATCCAAAAAGATACCAGAGTTAGCCAAGTCTCTGAGGAGGCTGAGCTCCTCAAGCTCTTCACCGTTCACGAGCTCATGCGCTGGCCCGAGGTCTCCAAGAACTTTGGCCCGCATCTGTGCGAGACGGACGTTTTCGACGCCCAAGCAGGCCAGTCCGGAGACGAGAAGGCGCACCAGCGCTGGCAGGATCTCCGCAAGAGGGTGATTGAGCACAACGTGCGCGTTGTGGCCAAGTACTACACCCGCATCCAGATGAAGCGCCTGACACAGCTTCTGGACCTCACCGAGGACGAGACCGAGAAGTACATCAGCGAGCTCGTCACCTCCAAGACCATCTACGCCAAGATCGACCGCCCCGCGCGTATTGTCAGCTTCGCAAAGCCCAGAGATGCGGACGATATTCTCAACGAGTGGAGCCACAACATGAAGAGCCTGCTCGGCCACCTGGAGCGTATCGACCACTTGATTACCAAGGAGGAGATGATGGCCAACATCCAGCCCAGTGGAAGCTCCAAGTCGAGCAAGGGAAAGGCTACTAAGGCGCATTAGAACGGTTCTTACGGTTACCAGGGATGGGGATATGGCGTGTAATTGTAGAACACTAGAGGCAGGCAATGAACAAGACTGGGACGCGTAAAACGGTTTCGGTCTATGCTTTGATGAAGCTTTGCGTCTATGTCTATAACGTGATCTATCATGTCTTCGTGTGTTTCTAATACCCATCAGACCTTGCTCTTCGCCGCCTCCTCGTCCGCAATTTTCTTGATAAATCCAATCAGCGGCATAGCCCACTCCTTGGAGATGGGCACATAATGTCCGCCAGGATGAACCACAACTATGGGCTCCTCGCACCTCTCCACCAACCCTTGACTCCTCGACTCCTCAACAACGGTATCCAAGCTTCCCAGGAAATGCAGCGTGGGCGTCTTGATCTTCGGCTCATACGCCCACTGCAGCTCCGGCGGCGGCGCAAAGAAGCCACAGTACATCACCGCGAACTTGAATGGCTTCCCGCCGTTGGCCTCTCTTAGCTCCTGCACCCAGGGCCGCATCTCCTCGGGGACGTCGCGGTGCGGCGTCTCCAGCATGGCGGTCAGCAGGCCCGCGAAGGCGGCGCCCTGGCTGAAGCCGAGGACGCCGTCGATGTTGCCGCCGGCCTCGCGGATCGCGGCGGCGACGGCGCGCACGCCGGCGTCGAGGTAGCGGTAGGTGCCCGAGGCCTCGTCCTTGCGCCACCAGGCCCAGGCGTCGAGCTCGACCTCCTCCTCGCCGTCGGCCGGGGGCTCGTAGCCCGGGATGTCGCGCGGGGAGAGCTTCGTGGGGCCGGTGGGGTAGAGGAGGGCGGTGGCGAGGTTGAAGGGGGCGAGGGATTTGAGGATGAGTTTCTCGAGGGCGCGCGTCTTTGAACGGAAGAGGGGGCCGGATTGGGTGTATCCTGGGGTGTGTTAGTGACGGGTTGTTGAGAGGGTGATGGCGGGGTAGGTTGAGTGATTTGAGGCGGGGTTTGGTAAAGGAAGTTTGCAAGGTTGATGAGGGAGGTGTAAGGAAGCGGGTACATATCTTACCGTGAAGCATGAGGATCTTGATCTCCTTCTTTCCGTTGGGCTTCTTTGCGGCGCCGTTTGGCGGGGGGTTTGTTGTGGTGGACATTTTGCAGGTGAAAGAGTAGGCCAATAGGAACGGCGGCTGGAAGGTTGAGGAGGGTGAGAGGCTTAGTCTATGAGAAACAAGTCTACTATTAATGCGTAAATGAAGCGGGAGCCTCATGTGTACATCTATGAGCTGGGTGAGAGAGGTGTTGGTGAAGTCAAGTTTGTGAGGTGAGAAGGTGGGTTCTGACAAATCCACCGCATGACTCTACGCCGAAACATGCCGAAGGGCGTGAGATAAGTTATCCGATGGCATATTCAGACAGGCAGGCTGTCACGACAAAGGATACATGGCAGATTGAATGCGAAATTACTGCCAATGCCAAGAGGAAAACTGCACCCCATGGCCGGCCATCTGGGATGTGATGAAGGCTCGCCGGGGTGAGTCAGTGACATCACGTGATATCCGCTCCGGCCGTCCGGGCCCCTCGACGATGTCCGTTGCCCGGAGCGTCCTCCTGCATGCCGAACGGATCAATCGGACATGCCCCGGCCTCACGGTCGCCTTGCAGCGCTCGTCTTCTCGGCAGTCCTCCAGCGCATTTCAATTCTCACACCCAATTGAACACGGCCGATGCCCGATATCACCGAGCCCGACATGCCCCGCGAAGCACCATTCATTTAGGACAGAGGATCAAATAGGATTAGTACAATAGCTCAATTGACTCCCGAGCCGTCAGTCTATGGTACAGCGTCCGTAAAGTACGCGTCTGGCGGGTCTCGTCTGTATGATCCCTCCCCCGAATGCTTCTATGCCATAGCCCGGAAAACTTGTCCCATGTCGAGAGAAACCGCTTAGTGCTTGTTCTTGGCGAGGGGGTTGCGGGCGTCGTTCTTCCACTCGTCGGCTGCGTTCCTCCATGTCAGTACGGATTCGTTGCGGGAGGCGGAGCTGCGACGTACACTTCATCATGGCGTTCTGGGCAGAGTTGATGCCGTAGGCGATGACCAGACCTGTTGTCGCACACATCAGTCTCTGTTGCTTTCCCTCGCGCGCGTTGCCCCTCCCCGAATCTCCATCGCATCCACTTCGTGTCGGTTCTCGTCGGAGGGGGGATCAGTCGCGGAAGGGGTGTTGGGACCTACCGGCAGCGAAGAAGGGCGCCATCGGCTTAACTACAAGGGATGTTTAGCATTTCGCGATCACCAACCGGGGGGGCTGCAGGCGCTGGCAACTTACGGACGGGCGTGGGGTACTTCTTGAGGGCGCGAGCTCCGAGCCAAGACATCTTGTCGGTTTGTGATGGGGGTTGAGTGACCGGGAGGATGGAATTGAGCGAGGTTTTGGAGGGGCGGTTGATGACTTCGGGTTCAACGTGAAGCTACTCAGGGCGAGCCTTTTTCCTCCGATTGAGCTTTCGGCGGTTGGACCCGTAGCCGAGATGCGGCGGCTGTGGCCTGAGGCAGCTCATTGCCAGAAGAGCGCTTAGGTAAGGTAGCTGCGCACGTGCCATACAGCGACAACTACTTGTGGAGGCAGCTGTTTCTTGCATCGCGGGTTCATTCTTTAATCACGGTCACGTAATGGCGACAACATACTGGTCCATTCTTACCAACGTCAATCAGTGGGCTTTCTGTAGCGGGTAGCTCCATCTGTTGACGCAACTTGTGAGTACCAAGGATGGTGTCTCCATTGGGAATTCGTCGATACGCATACTATGTCACGTGACGCATTCCTTCAAGCCATTGTTTCCCAACGGTCATGCTTCCATCGACAGTCTTGCAGCACTTGCTTATAATCAATGCTTTCCGAGAGAATAAAAACATTTGAAAACTCACGCAGTGCATGCAGAGACAAAAGATATGGGCCATTCGTACGAGAGCCCCAAGCAATCGTATCACCCTCACAGAAACGGGTAACATCGGCGCAACGCCGGAACGATTGTCCGCCTCTTGTTTCTTCCAAGATGGACTTCTCACACGCCCCTCTCCCCCGGTGTTAAAATCTCATGTTTCTGGCCTGTGATTTGCTTTTCTTAGCATCTGTTTCTAGCCGTTGAATCTACCCGAGAAGGCAATGCCACCAGAGTCAGCTGATTGCTACCGGCCATCACCTCGGGAGGTGTCCCGTGTCCCCCACGTGCCCCCCTGTACGGCTATCGCTGAAACAATTGTCCGCCGCCCCTTCTGGCCCCGAACACCCCTGCTGACAAGGACCATGTGACATCATTCGACCCTTCTCCGCATCTGGGAGCATTTGGCCGGGATACGTACCGTGCCTGGACCTGCCCAGGAGCTCAGCTCCCACGCCCGCTGCTCCGTGCCGTCGCTGTCAGTTGCAAGTGAGGTGGGAGGCGGGCGTCAGCTTTCCCCAGGTTCGGGGCCCTTGCTAAGCATGGATTGGCGTGCTGGCGCGGACGGTGGTGCTTGATCAGGACGAATAGCGTCGCAGCAGCGTGGAGGAAGAGAGGAGAAGCACCAGTACACAGCCGGTAAAGAGTTGCAGGCAAGCAGCAGGAACTCAAGGGCACGTCGTAGCCGAGCAGGCAAAGAGCAAGCAGCCAAAACGTCCTCCTCCCTTGTGTCACATTTCTCCCACGTCTTGACCTTCCTGCCACACTACTCTACACTACATTCACACACACCACCACCAAACAGACGCCTGCCACACCTCCTACCTGAAGCTGTCTCTGCATTGCATTGCGCTCTCTCCTCTCTCCTCCCTCCCTCCCTCAAAAGTGCGGGGGAAGCACGTTCAAAGACACTCAGGTCGCACGGTTGTAGGCCGACCATCAGCCCGTACTCGTCCAATTACATTCGTCCCATTTGCCTAGTCTACCATTCTGCCGCTTCTCCAAGACGCAAGCACGGTCTCGACCACCACCTCGACCACAAACAAGCAAGCACCTCCTCTCCCCAGCTACCTACCTTACCACCAGCTACTACCACCATACCGCTGTTCTGCTACCAGAGACCAGGCCACCACCTTCCGCCCGTCGCCGCCGCCGCTGCACGCCGACTTGCTTCCCGTTCTGTGATCCAGTACCAATAAACCCCTGCTCTCGGGTGCTTCTCTGCTTCTTGCCAATCGAGACGTATCGAATATCGTTTTCCTTCCCTCCTTCCACATTCCCGTGCCAGAGGCTTGTTACCTGCAAACAAAGAGCTTGTTTGTCCATTCTTTGTCGGACCCGACGGACGACATACCTCTCGTAGCAGACAAAACACCTCTAGGTCACCTCGTCATCACCAACCACCAATCCCATCCTTTCATCTACACCTACCTCTCTTCCTTCAACACCTTTCGCAATGCTGAGCCGTCCATTGGTGCGAGCTGCCGGCGCGGTGACCCCGCGTTCCGCGCTGCGAGCATTCTCTACCACGAGCCAGCAGCTGAAGGTGCCCTCCATGGCCGACGTCAGCGCCGCCCCTCAAAGCGTCGCCTCTTTCAACGAGAAATCGAAGCAGTTCCGAGAGCAGTTGGTCGAGCAGCAGAAGCAGCGGGAAGCAAGTGCGTATCAGTCATCCCCTCCCCCCTCCGCCTCTGAGTCCGCCAAGGACAGCATCTCATCTGTGACTGCTACTTCAGGACACAAGGCCGAGGTCACCCAGGAACCTCCGCGAAAGTCGGGGCCTCTGACCAACCTCATCTACGGCACCAAAGAAGGTCGCGAGCTCGATGCGCAGCTCGAGGCTAGCTTTAGTCAAGTCCTTGCCCGAGGCAAATACGTCCACTCGATCGTTTTCCACGAGGTCAAGCCTGACAAGGTCGACGAGTACACCGAGCTCGTAGGAAACTGGTACCCGCGCATGGCCTCCATGCCGGAGAACAAGGTCCATCTGGTGGGAAGCTGGAGGACCGAGGTTGGCGACTGCAACACTTTTGGTATGTCACTTTCAAGGAGCTCAGGCACGACCGAAACAGCTGCTAATATTAGCTTAAACAGTCCATATTTGGGAGTACCAGAGATACCAGGGTTACCACGAGTCGATCCACAACATTGGTTCCCACCCCGAGTTCGCCGAGTTCGACAAGAAGCTCAAGAGCCTGATCACCTCGAAGAAGACATCTCTTATGCAGGAGTTCTCCTTCTGGCCCACGACACCTCCCCGCCAGCTTGGCGGCGTCTTTGAGCTGCGATCCTACACTCTGCACCCCGGTAACCTGCTTGAGTGGGAGACCCACTGGAGACGGGGCCTGAAGGCCAGACGTGAGGTCATGGAGGGCGTCGGCGCCTGGTTCGTGCAGATTGGAGACCTCAACACTGTACACCACCTCTGGCAATTCGCCAACCTGGAGGAGCGCAAGATTCGCCGTGAGAAGAGCTGGAGCGTTGAGGGTTGGAGCGAGACCGTTCACAAGACTGTTCCTCTTATTCAGACGATGAAGTCACGGATCCTTGTCCCCATGCCTTGGTCGCCTACTGCGTAAGACGGCATCAGACATGGTGTCTGTCGTACTTTCTTGGCTGTTATTGGCGCCCGACGTCGCACATGTCGAATTATCACACCACCTTTAACTCGTCGATGCACGTACAATTAGTACCAACGGATTACTTCCGATGAACTCTACTTCACGCGCTGGTAGTAAGCGCATGGAGGCATACCCGCCACCAAGGCCCTAGGGCTATCGGTTTTGGTTTGCATGGATTACCAGGGGTTGCCAAGGGCTTATAACTGTACAGATTCTGGGAAACCCAGCACATAAACATAGGAATTGAAAATTGTAGCCTCTGAGTAAATGAATCCGTTCCCAAACGCCAGGGTATAACCTCAAATGCTGTGACCAAGGCCAGAGTGCCATTTTGATCCACCAATGCGATGCTTGATTTAATGTGCAATCCTCACTCGTCGACCTCCTCTCCCATTACTGCAGCAAGATTCCTCCTCGCGCCCGCCAAAGTGTGCCCCAACGCAACCAGCTTAACCGACAAACTCATCAAGTTCGGATCAGGCAAGCTCTCGACCCTCATCTTCTCCCTCACATAGACCTCATTCGGCTCCCCGCTACTCGACGGTGTACCCAGGCCACTGACACTGCTCTCCCCGCTCCTGGGATGCGCCCTGCCGTGTTTATGCTTCTCCCCGCCGTCCGTGACGCTGCTATACGTAAACCGGAACGGGCGGTCCATCTCGTCGTGCTCCAGCCTTCTGACCGTACCAAGCGCCAGCCCAAGCTTCGTGCCGAAGCTCGGCGGCGCGTCGACGGGCTCGAGGGCGCGCAGCCAGAGCACGAGGGACGACTCCTGCAGGGAGAAGTGGACAGATATGTTGGGCCCGAGGGGCGGAGCGAAGTGGATGGGCGGGCAGGAGTCGGACTGCCAGGCGAGGTCGGGGGTGTTGAGGGGCGGGCCGCGGAGGAGGGCGGAGGACTCGGTGAGGGAGGCGGAGAGGATGCGCAGTTGGGCGGCGAGCTGGGAGGGGTTCGAGGAGGGTTGCGGGGTGGAGGTCAGGGAGAGGAGGTCGAGGCATTCGGTGAGGTGGGTGTGGATCGTCTCGAGGGCGGCGATGTGGATCGGGTGTGACGGGTCGAGGGCGATGGTTTGGGATGGGAGGGTTTTGAGCTGGAGGTTGATGGCCTGCGACGAGAGGATTCGGTTGTCAGTTGAGGGGAGAGGGGTTTTGGAGGGGAGGAGGATGGGACGTACGCCTTTTACTATCCTTGTGCCGACCCGGGTTACTGTGCCTTTGACGCGCTCGTTACGCTGCGTGGACATGACGAGGGTGCTGCCCGGGTCGATTGGCGCGAGGAGGGCGTAGCAGTCTTGCAGGCCGTGGCGGATGTCGCTGAGGATTGTGTGGGTTTCGTTGACGATCCATTCTAGCTCGCGCTTCTTTGGGTCGATCCTGATTAGCATTTTGGTTTGAAAGGCTATGCGGCAATGTGTTCGCGACCACGTTTGAGCTTGGGGGATCTGGTAGGACGTACGAGGGATTCCTCCGTTTTGAGGGCGAGCTGGTCAGGGGCCAGGGGAGGCCAGATTGCTATAGACATGACTGCTTGTTGCTTAATTGAGAGAGATACGTGGTTTGATCGAGGTGCTTGTGGGCAGCAAGGCTGGAGGTTACAAAGGAGCCGCGGCGGGCGTGACGAATTGAGGTGTTTGGTGTTTTAGCTCGTGGTTGGATATTGGAGCTTCGCATTGGAGTTCGTCATCGTGGGAGGTCTGGGGTCAGTGGGGTGACGCGCGCTAGTGGGCTCGAGCAGGGGCCTGCTGGAGCAGCAGATGCTGCGCCGGTGCAGGTGCATGTGGACCCACTCTTTTGCACTTTTTGCGTTCCTGGCGGCGAGTGAGGCACCTGTGAACATGCATTTTCATCTTCACCACAGCTTCTATCTCCAACTCATAAGGATTCACTTCTTGAAACGAAATCATTACACAGAAGCACTCTCAAAATTCCCCATATCATACTCCCGACATATACCAGACTTCTGACCACTACATCAGAGGGGGGAAAAAAGAAGACAGAAACTAGCAACAGGCTTCCTGCCTCTGCTCACTCAGACTCACTTCTGCCTGCAATGGCGCCGACTCATCCCAAGAGCCAATCTGGCAAGAGCGATTCCTCATCAAAGAAAGATGTGTCAATAGACAAGCTTCCTCGTCTGCCTCAAGGTACTTGCAACATCCCTCCTTTCACCCTTCCTTTCGTGTCTCCCGGTTTCACCCCTCCCCTGTCTCATCGCCCATCTCAGCTAACACCACCCTAGGCAGCAAGATCCAAAAGCGCGCCCTCCCGCGCAGCCAGCAGCCCATCTCCTCTAAGTCCCGACTCATATACGTCTCCTCATCGACGCCCTTCATGGCCGTTGTCAGCCGCGTCAGGAAACAGCTCGATAGGGCGCTCAAGGGCAACGTCCCCTCCACCAAGGGCATGTCGCTGCCGCAACGGGTGGATCTGCTTCACCGCGATGGAGGCACCAAGGCGGAGGGCGAGGCGGTTGTGTTGGGGACGGGCAAGGCGGTGGAGAAGGTGCTCAGCGTCGCGGCGTGGTTTGAGGAGCAGGGGGATTGTGTTGTTGAGATCAGGACGAGGACGGTGGGCACCGTGGATGATGTCGTTGTCGAAGAGGATGACGATGGATTTGGAGGGGAGAGCAGGGTGAGGAGGGTCAGCTGTTTGGAGGTCACAGTGAAGTTGAGGTGAGGGAGGTATGGAAGCGGTATGGGTAGAGGACTTCTCGATGCGAGTGAAGAGAGACATGAGGGCGTTATGAGAGGGGGCTAAATATCGGAATATTGTCCACGATGCCTCGGAACAAGCGAGATCTTCTCAGGAGCAATTGGAAAGACGACGCGAAGGCGTTGATGGGAAAGGAGAAGCCGATGGATGTCTGAATAGAACCGGCATGATACCCAGCTGACAAGCTTTAATTTACGTTTGCCCCCATGAACCTCCTAACCCGAGACATCCAGATCTTCTTCACCTCCGTCGTTTCTGATGTTCTGGCGACGTTGGAATTAGATTTGAGGGAGGAAGATCCATGGCATGTCACCGAGACAGCTTCTGTAACCCTCATTACTTACGTCTGCGATCCCTTACATTCACCCCAACAAACCGCCGTTCATTCGACTCGGAATTTTCATTCTTGAGGTAAGTGCTAAAAGGTAAGGTATCGATATCGTTCTGATAGTGCGGTAAAAGCAGACTGAGGTGTTTCTCAAACTCGAAGCTTCACTTTAAGGTGCATAGCAGAGGCATTCGATGAGATGAATACATTTCTCAATCAGAACCGCTGTGAGGCACTGGTGCCCGTTCGTTCAAGGCCCCTCTCCGCGGTCAAGTCGTGTTCGATCGGAGAGACGCCGAACCACGCGGAGTTCCAATCGGGAAACTTTAGTCGCTTACTCAAATGGGAATTGCGGGAATTGTTTCCCCAGAGACAAGGGCGTCGTTGGGGTCATCTTACGAGAAACAAGATCATCCCTGTCATCCACGCACTTATCGACGTGAATTAGCAGTGTTTATTACGGCCCTTGGCACCGTTTATCTTCACCGCTAGCGATACCGGAAATTTCGGTGTGGGGTACGACAACCCGAGAGGCACGTCGGCGCTTCCTTTTGACATCATTCAGTCCCGGCCGGCAATGAATACCAAAGAGGGGGATTGAGGCCCCGCCTCGCATTTTCTCTTTTCTCTATTGAGCCGTCGCGGGGTGGAAAGTTCTCTTCTTTCTCCCGTTCAACCCTCTCTCCCTCAGCCAAGAGCCATCTCCGTTCTCACCAGCGGGCAAGATGATGTTCCAAACCTCTACCGTGCTGATGGCCGCCCTCGCCGGGCCGGTCTCCGCAAGCTACGCCTTCTACGTCGGCAAGGACCTCACCGCCGACGGCAGCGTCATGGTCGGCGGAACCGGCGAGGAGGTCTCCTCCCACTGGCTCCAGCTGTTTCCCGCCCGCGACCACGCCTCCAACGCAACGATTACCGTCGGCGTCACGGACAAGGCCAGCATCCCGGGCGAGCTTTTCACCATCCCCCAGGTCAGCCACACCTACCGCTACCTGTCGATGGAGTACTCCGACTTCGAGGGCTTCCCCGCGCCGCTCACCAACGGCGGCCTCAACGAGAACGGCGTCACCGTCCGCGACGTCTGGGCCCAGAACCGCGATGAGCTGGTCAACATGACCCCGACGCCGCAGCACGGCATCCAGTACAGCGACCTCGCGCGCATCGTCATGGAGCGCGCCAGGACCGCGCGCGAGGGTGTTGAGATCATCGGCGAGCTCATGAACCAGTACGGCGAGGCAACCTACGGCGGCAACACCCACCTCATCGCCGACAAGGACGAGGGCTGGGTCGTCTGGGAGATGGCCGGCGGCCAGAAGCTCTGGGCCGCCGAGCGCCTCAAGACCGACGAGGTCCGCGTGCTGTACCCCGGCTACATCGAGGACTTCCCCACCGACTTCGCCAACAACTCTGACTACATGGGCTCCGACAACATTGTCTCCTTCGCCGTCGAGCAGGGGTGGTGGAACGCCAGCAGCGGCGAGCCGTTCAACATCTTCAACGCCTACGGCGAGAAGGGCGAGAACATGACCGCCCGCGACGGCGGCTTCAAGTTCATGTCCCAGGCCGCGCTCGAGAACGCCACCCTCGAGATGGCTCCTGTCACCGAGGAGAAGCTCATGGAGCGCGTCCGCGACAAGCGCATCTCCGACGACGAGGCCGGCTACGGGCAGATCGTGTCCCTCAAGGACGGCATCGACCGCGACCTGCTGCGCATCTGGAACGCCCCCACCGGCTCCGTCGCCGCGCCCTTCGTGCCGTGGTGGCTCGGCGTCAGCAGCATCCCCTCCGAGTTCGGCGAGCACCGCTACCTCACCACCGGCGCGTCTGGCAGCTTCCTGAACACGGACTACCAGCTGCAGGAGGCGAGCGAGTTCGCCGGCCGCATCTTCAAGCGCGTGCTGTACTACATGTGCTCGCAGCCCGACACCTTCCACCCCATCGTCACCCAGATGCTCACGGGCTTCGAGAACCAGAGCCGCAGCGACATTGACTGGGTCGAGACGAGCGCCAAGCTGCTCATCGAGAGCGGGGACCGCGAGACGGCGAGCTCGCTGCTGACATACTACTCTCACAGCCGCGCGTCAAAGGCTCTCGAGCTCGGCAAGGCGATGACGGCTGCGCTGGACGGGTACATCAAGTTGAGTGGCCAGTGGCGCAACCCGGTCGGTAGCGAGATTAATGATGCTGGAGAGGGCGCCGAGACTGTGAACTGCTTGGTTGGGTATGACCCCGACCAGCCTATCTGGAAGCAGCCTGCGAACCCCATGAGGAAGAAGAGGAGCCTGAGGAACCGCATGTTCGTGCAAGGTCCTCGCTACTAGATCAACGATCAATAGGGGTCGTTCGCGTAGACTATCTAATACAAGTAATCACCAATAGGATTTGGCCTCGTGACGATGCAAGGGGCCAGATTGGGAAAGGAAGAAGCAAACAGGTCTCAGCTGCTAATTACATAATCCCGCTATCGTCTTCGAACGAATCCAGACCGCAAAATTCAACTTTGTTTTTTGAACGATTTCCCGTCTCTGAAGAGTGCTTTTATATCAGTTAGGCCTCGAGCCCTTTGAGCCAACGTTAGTGGTCGGCATGTCACATCATGGCGCTCAATCCAGTCTTTTGTTCCTCGATGGGCTTTCTGAATGTTCCATCAGAGCTCTTCACGATGATTATCTCACACCTCGAAAGACGGCATCTTAAACAGCTGATGGAGAGCAACAAAGCCATCTACAGGCTTACTGTACCCGTATTCTATCGCAGAGTATGGACAAAACGGCAGACTTGTTGCGATGTTGCTGGGCTTGTCAGCCTGCTCAGACGGCGTCCGGAGATCTGCCAATTCATTAATGTCCTGAACATCGACGAGATGGATGAGGGAGGTATACGAGAACTACTGGAGCTTGAGTTAGCGAACCTCGAAACCATGAACATCGAGTATGCTTGCGGAACCGCCAAGGCTGTCGACACGGAGAGAAGAGAAGAACTCAACGCCGGCATACGTTTGAAGCCAAGACTCAGTAGCTGCACGTCAATACATCAGACTCTTCCACGAATATTAAGCTAATTCGAAAGTTATCAGTCAAGTTTGCTATTCTCGATGGTTGCAGGCACGCGGATGCAGTGCAGTCCAACGAGGTCGAAGGGACGGGGTCTCTGTGCAAGATCCACGCACAAGACTCCGTCTACTTCTGCCAACCAACTCTTTCCCGCCTAAAACTCGCAAACTTGGACCTCTCGACATTCAGAAAACAGCCCTCTGAGCCATTTCCTATGGAGGCTCTCCAACACCTGGAGATTAACGACTGCCACATCCACATCGCAAGTCTTGGAAAGTTCTTAAAGCGAGCCACATCACTCCTGAGCTTTCGCTTCCGCCATCACCGTCGTCTATCGTTCTGCAGGAGGTCTTTCGTTTCTCTACTATCGGGATGCAAAGAAACCCTCGAGACTCTTGAGCTATCTTGGAGATCGTCTCTTTCGCACTATGATTTCAGGGGTCCGATGCTTTTCGAAGAGTTCACAGCTATGAAGCAGCTTCTGGTCGACCCTCAAGCCCTCTTCGTGAACTACCTTGGGAGCACAAATTTGCGCCCGATGTTGAAGCATGTTCTCGCGCCAAATTTGGAGGTACTCATGTTGGAAGGCGTTAGGGAACGCGCTCATCAGCATGACAGTGACCAGGATCACCTTGGGCAAACATCCACCATTGGGCAACCAGTCGAGAAGTTACTCAGCGACATCATCAGGTTCAAGGGCAAGATTCTGCCGCATTTGCGTTATGTACTTCTCTGCGACTGTTTGAGCATTGAAGGTCTCGAACGATTCTACGAGATGGCGGACACGCAGAATGTTCGTTTGGCATTGTTGAACACGCACATGGACCAGCCTGTGCCGAACCTTGAGTTGCTAGATTCGAGTTGGGCTGAACATGCTTCGGATGCAGAGAGAGGGACAGACTATCAGCAAGTTCGCTGCTATGACGGAAGGGGGTGGGTTTGCCCAGATGCATCATTCACCGTCGGCGAAACCCAAAGCGAGGAGAACTCAACATAGGAGCAGTAAGATCAGTAACTGATCACCTTCCATAGCATTTCCTTAACAATCGAGTTTCACTGGATACTTCAAGCTTTGATCAGATCTAACATATGCAGCACTACGCGGGGTCAACTCAAAGTAACACGTCTGGACACCAAGACTCAAGCGATAATCATGGCCTGCCTAAAAAGGCGGGCGTTTGGGATCGACTCAAAGATTGCGGAAAAAGTAACATCTCGTCGTGATATTTCAACAATCATTAATCTTCTTCATGTTATTGTAATGTCTGGAAGAATCTTCATCCATCAGCTGGCCATCGCTCTTAGGCCATGGTGTTCTTTGTGCTAGGTACCAGGAATGGCCACCACTGCAAAAGCCCATGCCAGCTGTGCCAGCTTTCTCTCTCAAGGCCGTTTCAAACCGATCATTTCATGGTTTTCTGACATAGTCATCGTCGGTGATAATCACTCGTACGTTTGGGAAGCTGTATCAAAAGAGAAAAGAACAGACGCAAGGTGTTGAATTTTTCAAGATGTCATATTTGAAACTATCGTCACTTGTGATAGACAGATCTTGGTTTGTATCATTGCGAGCAAGGATAAGTCTATGAAAGACCCCTAGCTTCTAGGAGATTTTGAAAACAGCACCTAGGTATTCTTAACAGAGCTTATCAAGCGGCAACTTGGCGTTAAGGAGTTAGACCCATGCCTGTTCTCATTATGTCCGCCCGAGCTGTCTTCGCTTTCGCATAACGACTGGGGCAGAGCATGGGTACTTCATAGAGTTACACTATTGCGGATCGTGGGGTCCGGGCTGATGGGTGGGGTTATTTAAAGTCGGTCTAGAAAAGAGTCCGTAACATCGTATGACAACCACTGTTGAGGTCTGCAACCCTGGAATATCCGGTAGCCAAGAACGATGAAAACTTACTTCAGACGATCTTTTGATGAACAGCCGACGGGATGAACATCTGCCTAGTAAAATATGTCTGAAATCCATCGCACAGTTCATGAGTAGTGGGTTCCAAGATTGTCTGATCCCCTCAGGCTAGCTCAATCCACTCCACTTCGCCCCTGCCTGAGACACGGGTGCTGAATCAAGAGAAAGTATGTTAGATGACGCTGCACATGACTCTGTTGCTGGGCTTTTGTCAGCCTTGGGCTGATACTGACATAAATACGCATTCTCTCCCGCGGGATACTTCCAGCTACACAGCTTGCAGCGCCCAATTCGCCAGCTATTATACAATTTGCTCTTTCTCAGTTGATAATCATGAAGGCTTCTTTCATCACCGCCCTGCTAGCTCAGGCTTTCGCTGTAAATGCACTCGAGAAATACTGTAACGGTGGACAAGGTCTCGACGCTGCACTTACATGTGAGGTGTGTATTTGAATCTCACCTGCTGTGCACTACGATCACCACTGACAGATCTCCGCGTCCAGGGAAAGGGAGCCAACTCGTATTGCGTGAGTAGCAGTTATTCTACTTGACAACATGTTGCTAAGTTTTTGATAAGTGCAAAAACACTCAGTCGGCAGATTTCCCGACGTTCCGAGGAGCATGCTTCTCCCCGCAGAACGCGAGAGACCGGGAAGATGCCTCGCAGTCCTGCACCGGAGGTGTAAGTTCCCTACTTGCCACTTCGCATCCACTCACTTGATTGCTGACAAACTAAACCCACAGTCTGTTTACTGTGTAAGTTGCCACTGGCTTGCCGTGATGAATGAGCGCCTATTAACTTTCATAGTGCGACTAAGCAGCTCGAGCGCGTGGCTTTACGAAGGAGTTGCTCGGAGAGCAGTTAGAAGGTTGTTGTTGTGGTTGAAGTCTTGACGGCATAGCAATAGAGGCGCAAGGTGCATGACAATTGATGAAACCTAGAATACTAACGACGGTGTCGTTATCAAGAGAAAGTTCTGACTTCAAGTGTGCTATGTTCCAATGCCCGCCTCGAGTCCATTGCTAATAACGGCGACCGGCACCACCACAAATCAAATCTATAGCCGGGTTTAGCTTGATGAATATACAAGAAGTCGCAATGGAGAATGCGCATCTCCAAGAGACGTACCTCTGTCACGGACGAGGTGCGACGTGACGAAGTTTTTACTGGTCTAGAAGCTAAGATATGACCGGAACGCGACGTGATCAACAAGGACTTTGAGAGTTTTGTGTGTTTATGTCGAGATCGCTCGTTACCAGGCAGTATAAATAATATAGATTGTATATATGATAGCGAGATGCTTATGGTCATGTTTCCATGCATGGCTCACTTGGCGCCCATGAAAGACTTACAGAGCCTGGTGATCAACTGGCTCACGTCTGCCTTTGTATGGTGAAAACTGGGCTGGAACGAGGCTTGATCATCCCTGATTCAGCCATGGATTTCATCGATTGCGGGCGTTTGGATTGTCAGTTCGAATGCTGCGAGCAGCGTGGGAGTCTCACAGTCTTAGAAACATTCTTTCTAGAAGGCCTCGTGAGCCACATTCGGGGTAGAAAGAATGTAGAATGGATAGGTGATATCCTCGAGGCTTTACTTCTTCACGAAGCAAATCTCGATTTCACCTTTTCATTCGAAAGTTGCAGATACAGAGTACAGGGGGCATATTTCACTTTGGGCCGGCCAGAAAAACATTGGACATCATTTCTTTTACATCAATGGGTATGCCGAGAAAAAACAGCTGATACTTCTCGAATCTCAGCCCGCGGGATGTCGTGAAGAAGTGCAACTTTCACAACAAAGATCGTCTGCTTGAGCTTTTGGATGGCCAGATGAATCGATACAATCAGAAAGTCTGTCCAGAACCGCGGCTCATTCTGCGACACAAGCCGTGGGCTCGAAGCACGATATGCCATACCCTTTTGGGGGCATTTCTTGGTAAGCACAGAGTGTTCATGAACCTCCCTTTTCGCAATTTGGTTTTGCTAAAAGTGGCTGAGGGATTTCGATGACGGTTGTTGCCCAAAATCTCTGTAGTTAGTCGGCCGAGAGAAACGAAACTCAAAGTTAGTACAAGTGCGATTTTGCTCGGATGATGGATTTGGATTGGAGTTCATGGATGCGTATGAAGAAGCTTTTGGGACTGGAACAGCGAGAATCAAGTCAGATTGTAGACATGATGGCACCATCTATGCTTATGATCATAGTCGAAGGCATTTGTCTGAATAATACAATGCCTCTCGAGGCATGGGGTATTATTTACGCACGTATCAGTGGAACGGCCTGGTTGAACAGACGAATGTATCAAATCTTCTTACACCTAGCTATGCAAAGTTGCCTTTCCGTCTAAGTCACCTTCTATCCGTACCACAGAACTCCGAAGAAATAGCTCTCATGACAACCCGGGTAACTCCTCAAAGTCAAACCCCTTAAAGCCATCCTCGACCGCCCAAGCTCGCCCCTTCTCCTTTTCATACAACGCCTCACACGCTCTGCCGACAACAAGCAATCCAGGTGGCCTGCTGCCCTCAGACTCAATAGCCTCAGCAACGTACTCCAGCGTTGTTCGAATCACCCTCTGATCGGGACAACTCGCCCTCTCGATGACCGCGCAGGGTGTGTTCTTCGGCCACAATATCCTCCTGGGCTTCTCCTCGCCTTCGACCTGCTTCTCCGTCTCAAGGTGGCAAGTCAACTCCCTCACCAGGCCAACAATCCTGTGCAGCGCCATGAGGAACACGACCGTCCTGCTAGCGATGAACTCAGGCGGCGCAGGCGGCTTGCCCTTCTTTCCTGTACCAGTGCACACCAGAACCTGGTCCGCAACGTCGCGTTGTGTAGGCGGGATGCCGGCGAATAGCGGCGCGCTGAGCGACGAAGTGATACCGGGCAGAACCGTGACACGGTCACCGAAACCGTGCTCTCTGAAATACGCAACCTCCTCTCCACCACGTCCATAGATGAACGGATCGCCTTGCTTCAATCTCAACACAGTCTTGCCCTCCTTCGCTCCAGCCAGAGCAAGCTCATGCAACTCCTCCTGCGCCTGATCCGCATTTCCGGGGAATTTTCTCGCAATCTGCACCGGTGTCCGCCTGGGAATCAGATCAAGCACTCCAGCTGGTACAAGCTTATCAGCCAAGATGAGATCCGCCGTCTGAATGGCCTTGTGTGTCGCTCTCGTAAGCAAATCGGGATGGCCGGGACCGCTTCCTGCAAGAATAATCCTGCCCTGCTGCGGCGGCTTGCTCGCCCCTGTTCCAAGCCCAGCAACAGGTGGTTTCCCGGCCGTCTCAGGCAACGCGGCAGAGTACGACTTCAACACGCTCTCCGCCTCCTCGTCCGTGATCGCAGCCAACCTCTTGAGCGGCCAGTACTCACAAACCTGACTCAACCACCTCATCCGCCTGCTCTTCGCCGCTTCCAGATCCGCATCCGTGACAAGCTTGTTGAAGCTCGCCGACTGGTCCACAGAGTCGTCAACCTCGTCCGGCAAACTATCCTCGCTTTGAATTCTCCTCCTCACATCCCCAAGCCTCGCGCACGCAGCACCCAAATCCGTGGGCAACGCCGCAGCGACTTCCCTCCTGATCCTACTGGCCAGCTTGCATCCCCTGCCATTCGTCGTGACGCCAATCTGCAGCGGGCCGTCGGTGTGCGTGCTCAGCAACGAGAACGTGCACAGCTGCGGCGCGTCGACCACGTTGACGGGGATGCGGTTGCGCCTGCACAGCGCGGAGATGTGTGCGCTGAGCGGGTCGCGCGGGCCGCTGGTCACGAAGACGGCGTCGACGACGTTGTCGACCTCATCTCGGCCCAGGGTGAAGAGGTCGGTGTCCTCGAAGGCCTTCTTGTGCCAGGCCACCTCGCCTGCGTCGATGCGTTTTTGCAGGTTGTAGTGCAGGTCTGAGGTGTCTGGGGCGAGGAGGATGGGGGTGGCGCCGGCGTTGATGGATTGCGTGCAGCGCGCTGCTGCGAGGGGGTTTGTGCCGATGACGAGGTGGGTGTTGCCTTTGCAGTTGAGGGCTGTGAGGAGTGATGTTGTTGTTGTTGTTGCCATTTTGGCTGTGTGTGACTCCTATGAGTCTGTCTGAGAGGTAATGAAGGCGATGTTGGTGAAGGTCTTACAACCCCTGTCGCCCGTGTGGGTGAGTGTCTTGGTGAAGTTCAAGCAAGGTACTCAACGATGCGCAACACAAAGAGAAACTTTGAATGACAAAAAGTCCAAAGACGAAAAGGTCCGTGATCAGGTCAGTCTCTCATAAGACGAAGAGGGAATAAAGAACCAAAAAATGCCGTCTTGGCCACTGTGATTAGATATCTAACTAGAAATTAGAAATCGTCCCTGGACTGCCATTTGCCCTTGCAGCGCCGGCGCCAGACCCCGAATTGCGATTACGGAACCCAATCATGCGCCGGGCAAAAAAGGTCAGCTAATTTTTCATTCGCTGGCGATGACACCATCCCGACAGCCGGCCCTTGCGGTATCTTATCGGCCTTTATCGGCATCTTCCATCGTGACCAATCAGCGGCTTTCGCCCCGACTCCCGCGGAGCCGTCACCGGAGATGCGTCCCCCTGGCACGGGCTTCTTCAAGCATCTCCGGTCGACGGCCTCTGCGCATGGAGGGGTAGAGGGGTAACCTGCAATCAGCTTGCCGCAATGAAAAGTCCAATGATGCAAAAGATAAGATGGGTTGTCATTCAGTTGAGTTGTGGTATTGAACTGTGATAAGTGGCGGCTCCTTGGCGCAGTCATGATGCCCTCATTCCCCCCGTGCCTAAATATGTAGTATAATCCGTGGTGTTGTTACAGTATTTTGATGCCTTTCCCACCCATATGATACACAGTCATTGTTACAGTTGATGGTGATTTCCTCAATCCTCTTTCTCCGCCAGCTGCTTCTTGAGATCATGCAGAGCAGCTCCTCTCTTGCTCTTCCGTCTCTGCTGCGGCTGCGCCCGCGCTTCGATAGCATCGGGGTCGCCAATCACGCCGTGCTCGTTAATGCCGACCTCAACGACATTTCTCTTCTTACGAGCGGCCGCATTCGCTCGCTGCGCCCGAACACCGCCGTCGTCCTCGGCCTCCGGCCTGCCCAGGCGCACATTCCTCTGCAATCGGGTCTTCGCGCCCAACGCCCACAAGTCACCCCACTTCGCCTTGCGCGCATCGTGGTACGCCTGCTTGCTGAAGCTCTTCGGGATCGTCCACCGCTCGATGCGCGCGGAGGGCGTGCAGACGTCGAGCGTGACGTGTCCGCGACGCTTGATGGGCGGGAGAATCTGACGGGGTAGGGAGAGCATGTCGGGCGCGGTCTCGGCATCCTCGTAGCCTTCCAAGGCGCGAGTGGTGGCCTTGTCGCCGGCGAGAGGGCCTGACTTGGCTGTGGTGCCTCGCTGGATGGCAACGTAGCTGAATTGCACGTCGTCGTGATTGCGGTGCGTTGCGCCCATGATCCTCTGGAGGAAGGGCGGGCGGACGAAGCGCTGGGTGAAGTGGCAGTAGTCCTTCCGCCCCTTGCTCCTGCCAGGGACAAGGTACATCGGGCACGACTTGTGGTTAGTGCAAGGCGCGATGATCATGCCGTGCTCCTTCACTCTCTCGAAAGACGGGTCAAGGTCCTGTTCTTCGGCCTTGAGTTCCTCCCCTCCTGGAGGGATGAGAAATTCCTGAAGAAGGCGGTCGCGAACTTCAGCAACGGCTTCGAAGCCACTAGGCTGGCCCTTCTCGAGAACGATGAGAACACCGCCCTCGGGGTTAAGCAGGGACCAGATCTGATTCAAGATGGCCTTGCGTCTGTGACCTTCCTTGAC